TTCCTGTTCTGCGGAACCGTTATTGGTATTCCCATTTCATGCCATTTCTCTAGAGATAAGGTGTGATCCGCAGCAGATGCATATTCTGTGATGTGCTCGAATGTGTCCATCGATTCTACCCTTATAAGAGGCGTGGAGGATTTGGTTGTCGATCTCAGAGGTAAAGATCGCTTCAGTCCCCAGTCTCCCTGGTTTTGAGACGATTGTGGTGTTGTTATCGTCATATGGATAGGATGTGGGAGGGTGGCTGTATTCGAAACCGCGGTTACCGTTGTTGAGAGTTCTCCTATCGGTTTCGGAAGAGGCGGAGGAACTGAGAACAGCCTCGAGGCCCTCAGCAGAGCAGCGCCCGGTGCCATACTTCGGGCAGCCATTGTGATTTGGTGAAAGGGAATCTGTCCCTTGGATCTCGAGAGCTTGCTGGGCGCTGGAGTTTCGATTGACTCTGATTCGAAGGTCGAAAGGCCGAGCTATCGAATCCTCTGGCAGCTCCAGAGTTGCCTCCTATACTTTTACACACAAACTGCCTCCTTGAACCTGTGATCACCGCACAATTGTCGACCGTGGCGGGTGTTGATGGTTCGATGTTCGGAAGGAAATTTAGAATTCGCGCTATGAAGCGGCCGCTTGAACCTTTCTGGCCTCAGGCCACAACTTTGTGACAGCATCAGTTGAATCTTAGGACAATGGTGTGGAGGTTGTCGTTCCGGCGTAGAAATCTAGCTTGTCATTTAACTCTAATTTGATCATCACGGCACTTCCTACTGTATCCTGATAGACTCGGCGTGAAAATAGAGCAATATCTCCGGACTATCTCGATCTGTTTTCAAGGTAGAGGCCGCAATACTTGGCAAGTACGATAGTATGGTCTTGTGGAGACTTAAGAACGGTTTGCAATCCTCTAATTTATTTACTGCATATTACCTCTTAGCATTGCCATTCTCTTGATCACCTTCTTAACACTTTTATGTCAAGTTCCTTGCAAACTTTTATTAAGGAAGAGTAAATGTTGTTGCTGTTGAGTCTCTTTCCGTGTCTTCGCTTCATATAAGGGAGACGATCTCACAATATCTTGCTCAATACCTCTCAACCACAGTTGGTATTGCCAAAGCCTAATTGTACTCTACGCTTTCAATCACTGTTTCCTCGAATCGCATTCTGGGAATGTACGAGACCAATGAATAATTGCTGTGCTTATGGGGTACATGGTCAGAAGACAAATTTCATTTAGCCATGTAAATACCCAAACAACCGTCACTGCGTACCTGCGTTAACGACTCCCAACCACAGATATACAACCCGTACGTACAGAATAACTCGTGATTGAGTGGACTTATGGAGTAATTTCATACCGAGTGGTTCATGAACTTCATGTTATAAAAAGGTGGTTTCTTAACGTTAATCTTATCTTTTCATCTCATCTATTTCTGTCCTCTTCAATTTCGTCACAATGGTTTCTCTCAAAGCATTAGCTCAATCTCTTCTATTGCTATCAACAGCAACTACTCATGTCTCCGGTGCCAATATAACTAGTAAGTCTTCCCTCCCTAAAAATCACAATTCCACAGAAGCACCATCTAACAAGGCTCCAGCTCCAACCCGCATCGGCGTCGTCATTTTCCCCGGCGTAGAAGCAATCGACGTCTTCGGTCCCCTCGACGCCCTCTTCCTGCACTCCCTCATGAATTACCTCAACCTCACTATAATCGCCGAAACCATGGACCCCGTCTCAACCGACAGGATGCCCTGGCGAACCTCCCGCGCTGGCTCCACCTTCGGCGCTGAATTCGTTCCCACCCACACTTTCGCCAATGCCCCTCCCCTCGATGTGCTGCTTGTCCCCGGAGGCCTAGGAACTCGCGCTCCAGCACCACGTCTGAACTCAACAATCCAATTTGTCAAGGACCGCTACCCAGAACTGCAATACCTCCTCACCGTCTGCACCGGCGCCGGCATCGCCGCACGAGCAGGCGTCCTCGACGGGCGGAACGCAACAACAAGCAAAAGAGCATGGGTGGAGACGACCGCCTTAGGACCAAAAGTGAGATGGCAGCCCAAAGCGAGATGGGTGATTGATGGGAATGTCTGGAGTAGCTCGGGGGTTAGTGCTGGGATTGATTTGATGATCGCGTTTATTGGTCATGTGTGGGGTGCTGATGTTAGTAAGAGTATTGCGAATGGGATGGAGTATGTGGCGATTACGGATAGCCATAATGATCCGTTTGCGGAGTTGTATAACAATACAGCGCCGGCGGTGATCCCGTGAGGGGGAGGATATGGGATTGGCGAAGAATCTTGGTGTAGATAGGCGAGGAACGTTGGCGTACATATGGAAGAGGTGAGAGGTACGCAAATTGTTGTCAGTATGGATGAGATGTATTTAAGGAGCTCTTGAATATGGATGCAGACAATTTCAAAGAGGCGGGAGGGCTTCTTTTGAGAAGTGGACTTGACATCAATTGGTGGCGCTGGCTAGGACGCATTCCATATGGCATTTTCAACCTTCTTAGACGGGAATTGCTTGTAGAGATAGTCGGAGAGGAGCTAGTGATACACCTATAGTTGGCCTCCAACTGTGAGATCCTGCGTACATACCATGTAGATGATGAAAAGTTCTTGATCGCAGCTTACTCACAGGTTCTCGAGAATATTTGCGAACTCAGATCTCCTTTTCCAATGACTCAGAACAATCAAAAGTCGTTCCCCTAGACGACCACTTCTATAATATTCACTAAACAAGAGAGTACAAATACTCCGTCACCTTCCTCTTAGTTCTGCAGAAGAAGAATCGGGAGGTGGAGGCAAGAAGGATTATCCAGTAGCTCGCCACGAGGTCTACGCTGATTGTAGCAAGGTATCGGGGCACCCTGACGAAGTCTTAGCTAGAGGATACACGTCTAGTCCATGAATGAGCTCGGTCAACAGTAGGCGCTCCATGCTAAGCACGGCAAGTCCCTAACACTAATTCACTTGAAGAGCAGTGAAAGCTCTGTGCATGATCAATTTCCACTCCTCACGTATCTCGTCCTCCATTTTATATCAAAGTGAAACCATGTTGTGTTTCTCAATGTATTGGTCTATCTCTATCAGAATCTCGCAGAACTTTTCTCACGCACTTGTACCTCCTAAGATGCCCTCAGCACAACTCAATGACGCCCATATCTATACTTGCATCCCCACAACCTTCATCCCCATTTTGGACACCTAAATTCCCGCCATCACGCTTATCCCTGGCTCCCCTGCATGTCCCTCTAACCTAGCGATTTTCTCATACATAAAGGCCTTCATACCTGCGATCACCCTTGACAGGACTGTCATCCTCAATACAACCCACACCACTGCCTCGCGGCAAGCAGTCGTTGCACTTGAGAGTCTGGCATCTGGGACATGTCAAAGTAGTACTTGGGATACGACCAAGACACTATTTGAGTTAGCGCATTCAGTGGACAGGGAAGGTAATACGTACAGGTGACTGACTTGCTGGATGGCGTGCTTTGCAGCAGAGAAAGTATACTTCTCCTGCCTTCAAGTGGGGACCAGCTAGTGGAGCTGAAGGTGTGTTTGAAGTGGGTGCCATGTTTCTATTTTGTAGAAATGATGTTCGCAAATCGCTTTGTTGTTTGCGATAGTTTCCTGTTGACTTTTTTTATCTTGACTGAAATGGTTTTGGGTAGGTTTTCTATGCAGAAAGTTTGCTTGGTTAGGGTTGTATAACGTAAAAGTTTTGACTGTCTGAGATATTTAAGCAAGGAAGTTTCTCGTGAATAGATCATGCATCCTTTGATTCACATGGCCTACGAGCAAGTGAGAATTCGTATACATCTGTGGGTGATTCAATCACTTTCCAAGAACTAACAGTATTATTCTAGTTAGGATAATAGTGCCTAGCTAGAATGAGAGCATTTTCTACTTCATTTTCTACTTTACTCCTAAAAAAGAAACAGATTAAAACTTCTCTCTCCCTAAAATTTGATTAGATCACTATTAAAATAACGGTAAAAACCCCAAATCCTACTCTATCAAGTTTTAATACCTCGTGTGTCATCGCACATGCAACTTATGAGCATTCGCTTAAGTCGTAAGTCAGATTTCACCTCAAAAGTGTAGTAGCACTATTTATTTAAAACAAGAGGATCAGACGAGGGGATGAATAAATGATTCACAGCGACATAATCATTAATGCCAACTAGACACATCTATTAAACAGTAGGCCTGGTTCGATATAGTGGCAATAAGATTCGCGTCCCACTCATGATCTAGGCTACTACATTTCAAGTGGCATCTGAGTCATATGAGAACTTTCGGATGGCATGTGAGGTTTTTGTCGTTCAAATATGTTGCAATTTGGGGTTGAGGCCCGTTTCGTGGTACGCTTTGGCCTAGTACCACGTCCATATTATGGGTTCTGGATGCCCACCTGTAAATTAGCAGTCACCTTCTCCTTGACGGAATACACATTTTTGACCCTGAGAGCCTGAGATTTCAACAAAATAATCTCTTAACTTGACATCACGTGATTACTTTCACAGTACTTTCACGGTATTAGTTATTGCTAAAATCTAAGACGAATGAGAGAGCTCATCAATAAAGATGAAATTTTTGAGTCTGTTTTTTAAAGATCATGTCTTTTATAAAGTATGTAGCATTCAGGGGTTGCATTAAGTCGCACAAATCTCCGAAATTGATGGATAGGATTCTTCTTGAGGGCCTAGGCAATTTTATACAATACTACTCTTTAGAATAGTTTTGCAGTTATATAACAGGCTTTCATCGCAAATACAAAATTCTACCTCAGCGGCCTAATTGAAATTCCAGTACCCTTAAATGCTCACATCTTTTCCATCGGCTCTATCCCGGCAAAGTGAGTCACAAACATAGCCCCTCGTTTAAAAGTCCGGCCCACACACTACCAATTCCCACCACTCAAGCCCCACAAATCGTGTAACAGGTTTATATTCATAAATAAGCACAACTCGTGAACAAATAAACCAAATAACTCAGGTTTCTTGGTCTAGTGGTATGATTCTCGCTTAGGGAGCACTCTAAGTCACCGTACATACAGTACAAACCATGCGAGAGGTCCCGGGTTCGACTCCCGGAGAAACCCCATCTTTTTGGCTATCTATTTCACTTGAAATTAAGCCCAAATACTTTATAGTTGATTAGATGTCATTTTTTGAAGTTGGGGTGCTTGGGTGGTTGAGGTGCGGAAATTGAGGATAAGCGAGCGAATTCATACAATCTTTGTCGCGAAATTTTTATATGAGCCAAGCGGGTTTCTAGTACAGTATCAAAGGCTGGTTGTTCTGATTGCGTAAATATTTTGCTAGACGTTGTGGGGAAGACCTGGAGTGCTCAAGCATCTCGGATAATTGTGAGAACATCGTAATTACAGAAGCGTGGAGATCTCGTCGTTTTTCTCGAAAGTCTACTACCATTTAAAGACTTTCTTTACAAAAATCCCTGCCAGTTTCGCCCAATACCTTTTTCTATCATGGATAATTCAGAAAAAACTTCTTGAGATAAGTTTAAAACGTCTATTGCGCAGCTCATCCGTAGAAGGGAGGGAGCATGTCTTCAGATTTCATGCAGCCTTGCCGATATACTTTCTCCGTGCTGCTGTAGTCGTATGGCGTAGTGATTGATACATGATTATGTTAGTGTCTGGTATCTGTATCTTTTCTGATTCTGCACTTCTATCTAAGCAGTCACTTGCAATAAATTTCACTTTTAAAACATTTATTCTCAGATTCATTCACATTTGGGTATCTAGATATTTTGCTAAATGTTGTTTTGTCATGTTTTCTGAATTAAGTCTGCTTTTGACTTCTTTCATTTTCCCTTCTTGTGCAGTCTGCTTTAATGCCGGAATCCCAGAATTGACAAATCCATTTTTCCCTCCCTCGTACATCAGTAAAACTGTAAGACGGAAGTAAAATCACGTGTTTCCGGGTCTGGTTGACCGATACCAGACTTGAAATAGCCTGTAGGGGCGCATCCATACCGATGATTTCCGACAGTACTTCTCAGCCTGAGGCTCCCAACCACTACTATTGCATATCACGTGTAGAACTCGAAATTTGAGAAGGTGGTCCGGATCGTAGCTTTTTGGTGAGGTAGGTTACCTGAACCTTTCTGATACCCTACACATTCTTCTTTCATAATTTAGAGTTGTTGTTGTTGTTTATCAGGCTGTGAAAGAACATCTTCTACACCTGGTCTAAGCCCATAAACGCGAGAATCTGTACTCTCGTAGGAATCGTGACCTTGCCGCCTCGCACAGATTGCAATAGTCTAAAAAACCGACCACCACCAGTTGGGTGTGTGTGTGAGTGGGCGGAGAGCCTCAGGCCGACGAGTACATGGATTTCAGTAGGAGCCAGGCCAAAAAGAAGGTCACTAAAGAAATCCAGTTCTGCCATACCTCTCCAGACCTCCAAGACGCCACGACGCGTAATGCGACGCGTTACAAGTCGCGCTAGAGCACGAAGGCACGTGCTCTCCGACTTCCCTCCCGTGTTTCTGTATTTTACGCCAGTAGACTTCTATTTCGACGCATCACAACGCACACGAGTCACTATATAAAAAATCGGTCGATCCGTCAAAATTAAGGTTTGGCATACTGGTACGTCGGCCTGGAGGCCTCTGGAGGCCTCTGGAAAGCCCCCGGAAGACCGCCACCGTAGTATGTGACTGCTCAGCGAAGTATGGGAAGTATGGGAAGTATGGGAAGTCTGGGACAGTATGCCCGGTCTGGAATACACTTCCATCCTTCTTACAGTTTTGCTGATGTACCTCACTTCTTCCTTAGCACCTCCAGATCCCCCAACCCCTTCAACCCAAACCCCTCTTCCCCACAACCTTTTCCCCAACCCTCATTCCCCCCACCTCCTGCCCACTATCACTCCAACGATCAATTAAATCACTCTCCGCATCTTCACTCTCACTTCCTAGCTTCAACAGCGCTAAATCGGTAAGACCTCGGCTGCGAATACTGCCCCTTTCTACCTTCATCGAGTCCTTATCCTCGTCGCTTTCGATAATAATTGGGAGGATTGGTGCGCCGGCGGAAATTTATGGCTTTGCCTTGTCTGAGTCCATCATAGCGGTGGTGGCCGCATAGTCTGCAGACTTTGGAGACGAGTGGGTTGCGAGTCAAGCACTGTATTCATCAGCAATTTCTCTTCTCTTACTTTCTCTTACTTTTCATTTCACTGAAGCGAAATGGAAGTAAAGGGGGTTGACGAAGACTTACAGGTCCCTTGCTCCCAGTGATAACCTCCCTCAACCGATGATGGCAGCAAAACCAGAAGAAGCCTTAGACATCTAGCTTCTCATCATTTAGTGTGTGGAGGTAGGAGGAGAGGGAGGAGAGGAGGGAGTTTGTGGATTCTGTTTTGCGGAGGAGGCGTTGGGGCTGCATTTTCTCTTTCTCTTTGTTGATGGGTAGAGGTTTCGCAACCAGAGGGCAGTGGGTATTGGAAGGCGAGGGAAATGAAGACATAGGAATGCAAATAGTGAAGAGGGAGAGGATGTGTGAAATACAACGCGTACGTGAATTGTGAATAAGTCCTTTCCCGGCCCGAGTCCAGAAATACAATCCGTTTGGCCGTGAATAGTACAGTACAGTAGATCCGCAATTTGCTTCCTGTCCAATTTTCCTTTCCATTTTCCTTGAAACAGCGCCCAGTAACATAAGGTTGATTCCTCAAATTAACTCCTTGTAAGAGACCCAGCACTCGATAATCCATTCTCAAAATCACAACTTCTCAGCTCCTCTCCGTGAGGACTCTTTGACCTGGCGAGACCAGGTTTGACATCTTGAACAACGTGAATGATCACAAGTTGGGCATGAGTCTTCTTGGACATCTATCGTGCTTCCACACTAAGATATAGTTAGTACACATTTAGGACGAAAGGTTCAGGGTAGATGAGGAGGAGGGGAGTGATGTTTTTAAGATACTTACCGAGCTTTTGAATGCTTTACTTCCATTCTTATGAACGATAACCTTGCAACAGATCCAGAAAGCATCAGGTGCATTAGAAGGCATGTTGGAACCTTTGAATCATGTGAGACAAGGATAGCAATTTGAGGTCAGTGTGAGACAAGCCGAGGTATTTGTAATTTTGAATGTTGCAAGAATTTGAAATCTCACGATCTTCTAGCAGTATCAAGTTTTGACTAGAAGACTCTGCAAACGTTTGAAGTAAACAACATAAAGAAAGAGGGAGATCAGGGGTTCAAGTAATTAGAAGCTTCAAGAAACTGTTGAGTACAACAGTTGGGGCATTTCAATGGAACACGTTTGAGTGCATGATTGGTGCATACAACCCGAAATCATGTGAATGACTTCAAGGCTACGAGATGTGCGGCATACTACCTCGCACTTGTGACCTCTTGCAGAACTAGGCGTTGGTGTTGGTATTGTTATGTTTCTTGTTAGATTACGTTATGTAGATCATTAAATTTTGGGGATTGGGTGTCGTCAATCCAATTCTCCCAATATTTGAGGCCTTCGATGCCTTCTTCCCTGCAGAGAACTCCTTTCTCCTCGGCCATTTCGAGTTCTTCTTCTGCAACACCAATACTCCAACCGAAACGTTCGGCGGCATCTTGAGCTGTAACGCCTCTACCAAATTGTTGCCAGTCCCAGGGAAGATCTTTCTCTGGTGGAAATGAATGCAGATCATTGAGCCACACCAGTAACGCTTTGATGGTCTTCTCATCAGTACGATCACTGCCTTGAACAACTAATACACCACTCTTGAATTGTCGCAATCGAACAGGAAGTTTCAATTTCTCCCAAAGCCTGGCAGCTTTTTCGAAATCCAAAGGACTCACGAGTTCCACTCCACCTCGAGCACGATTGAACATAGCCCAAAGATCGACCAGACTGATGATTCCGCCAGCTTTGCGTAGGACACCTCGAGCGTCGTCTGTCAAAAATTCGGCCAAATTTCGAGAGAGCTCGGAGATGTAAAGTGACTCCGAATTACTCCCACCACCAAGCATGTCTTTTGTTGTAACCAGTCCCAGGGCATTCGCAATCTCGCTCGATTCAGAGTTTCCAATTGTACCATTAGTCTTCGCAAATGATTCGGCAAGCGCTATAATCTCTTTGGCTGAGGCCATCAATGCCTCAAGATCTTCAAAAGCATTTCCAATGACGAGCTCGTTGTTTTTCTGGACCTCCAAACGTCGCTGCTCGAGACCTGCAATACCGACTGTCTTCACTCTTTCTCCAGCTCCGGAGATCGTTGTACTGTCGTCGTCTAATCTATTGGGCTTGGGTACAGGAGGAGCTCCCTGCAGGAGCCATTTACGCTGTACCATGCATCCTTTCAGTCGCTCGTGGAAGAGTTTCTCCCCCCCAGCTCTGAAAGAAAGTTTGATACTCTCGTGAGTCTCCATTCCCGGACCTGGCAGATGATTCAGCACCGGACCAGGCGACTCTGTCCTTGGCAGCGGCTTGTCCAAACCATTTGGGACATCCTGTGATACCAATGACGCGCCACACAGCTCGCAAGATGGCAAAGAGGGATGGTTCAGAAATGTACATCTGGGACATGGGAAAGACGCTCCATTGCTAGCTTTGATTGCTTGTTGTAAAGCGGCTTCTTCTCTTTCTCTCTGCCGTGCCCATGGCTCGTCCACCGCATCGGATTGGGGTCGAGGTATATCTGATCTGCTGCCGACACGAATAGGTATTGGAGTCCGCAGTGGGACAGATGTCGGCAGTGTAGATCTATTCGTAGCGTTCGAAATCGCTGCCTTCAAGACGTGTGCTAGTGGGGGTTTTATTCCGCATGCTAAGCATGGAGCTAGAGGAGTATGCACGCTCGCCGTGGTAGGGTCGAAGTTCGAAGGCACTGGATTGGAGAAGGTGCAGATGGGGCAAATCCATGTAGCAGTGCTTGTTGGCGTTGCATCTGCTACCGGGAGATGGAAGGGAGTTTCCGATCGAGATAGGGGCGACGCCGTAGCACTTCTGGAAGGAGCGTTGAGATTCGATACTGTTCGATTTTGGACAGAAGATCGTTTGGCTGGTTTGGGGACCAAAGTTATTTTAGCAGAAGACTTCAAAAACCCAGCCTGTATTTTGTTAG